CTCTCTCTCTCTCTCTCTCTTTCTCTCTTTTTTCCTGCTTTTTTCTTAAATTTTTTTAAACTATTATCTGTTGCGGCTGGAAAAAGTAACCACTCCATAAAGTTGTAAGTCAATCACACTACTTTTTTTTTTTAAATATTTTACACGTGTTCAATGACACATTTACATTCACCATTTTCATTACACTTCACACATCTTTATAGCTTTCTTTACTTTTCTTTAATGTTCGTCTTAAATAAAGTACAAGTAATCTAGCAACCACTATTTTTATGTTCAACTTTTCTAAAGTTTTTCTTGAAGACTCACTGATGGCTGCAACAATCCCTGTTTTCAAGGTATTATTTAAAGATCATCTCTGCTCGCAATTATTTAAGATAATTATTAGAAATTTAGTAATATTTCTGACGGACGATCTCAATTTGGTATAGTTAACATAACGGGTTGCTTTCAACTATCTTTAAACTTTATTACAATGTCTAAGATGTATTTTTTTTTTTTTTTTTTCATTTCTTAAAGGCATCAGCATAAACTGCTGTGTCACAGCACAAGCAGTTTTTGAAAATTTTGCTTCACGTAATCTTGTTTCAATTAATTTTTACACTTTTTAAATAGTTTTTGTATTTTTGTTTCAAAATTGTAACACTTCCGTAATTGATCCGAAAGGTATTTTGTTTTGTATTTCTCTTTTTTTTCCAAAATTTATACGAGACATTTTACGACTACATAAATTTTCATATTTTTTACAAGAAAATTTGATGTCCATGTTTTGAAAGAGCAAAATACACATCACGAATTTATAATTTTCAATTAAATATGGTGTCAGATGTCAATACTGAAACTTAAGTATTGTGTTACAACCTTTTCAAAGGTATCTTGTAACTCATTAATGTATGTACAGTTAGAACATACACAATTCATAAGCCTTGTCTTTTTCTGGTGATTGACTATTATGTACATTAACTTTAGAGGCACATTTTGCGCCAATTGGCTCTACAAGAATTATCACTGACGATTTGACTCAAAAATTAATATAGTTTTTATTGATGATCGAAACTGGAAGTAACTGTAACTTGTTTGATACAGGTTCGATCAGTTGCTTGTATTTAGATATATATTTGGTCTTGCATTAATTAGCAGACTCTTCTGGCTGTTTACAGTTTTATATAACGAATAACTTGCAATAGAGGTAATTTTGCAGTACAAAAACATTATTGTATTATTTACCCCATATTTCTTAGTGCCCATTTCACTGACCACTGTAAAACTGTATACGACCACCTGCAGTTACTGGCATTTCTCTCATAACAGCGTCCCATGCTATATTGACAAAGAGAAAGAATTTTGAATTTTTAGATACTATACTAAACTACTATACTATTTATTTGATGCTGAATGGTGCATGCATGCTTTCATATATATGAAAAAAAAGTATGCTATTGACTTCTATAGACCAATTTAAAATACAATCATTTTGATTGACATTTTTTACAAATTTTTACGAGCCTCAATATTCAAATGATGAATAATATTTCAAAGATTATAGAATATTATTTTTAAATAATTAATTAAATAAATATTATTAAAATAATTAAAAAAATATAAAAATAATACAAAGTAGGTAAAAATATTATTTAAAATAATACAAAATCTAAGTTGAAGTATTAAGTATAGTATTTAAAGCATATACAAATACAAATTTACTTACCTAAGCCAACAAATGAGACGATTTTATCATGATTGTACGTTTGTATATTAACGTCTTCCTCGGGAGCTACATAAAGCATAGAAAAATCTTCTTTAGGTTGATGATGGTATTTTTCCATTATTCCTGGTGGTGGTGTGGGTGGTGGTGGTAGACACGCGGGAGGAGGGAATCTTGGAGGATAACTCATGCACGGTAATCGCTGCACCATTACCGGATGCAGAGGTTGTTGAGTTACATGCGTATTTGGAGGTTGCATGAAATTAGGCGTAAATTTATCACATCTCATGTGTTTGTCAAATATCGGAGGGTATCTATCGAAACTAGAAGGTGGTTTGTTTATAAGCGGTGGAACTACAGGAGGAAACACAGAACTGACACTTGAGGTCTCTTCAGTTGTTGATTCTTCTGACAATAAAAGTTGTTCGTTAATTTCAAATCCAAACCTGAGTTCCGTAGGTAACTCACTATTCTTTGTAATATCTGATGAAGTTTCATCTAACAATATAACTGCAGGCCTTGAGGATTTTTGTTTATTTGATGTTTGTGATTCTACTTTTTGTACTTGATCTTTATCTAAAGTAGAACTTTGCTGTTTCGGTTTCTTACATTCGGAATCTTCATGTTGTTCTTGTTTTGAACTTCCAGAATATGTATTGCTCGATTTAGCTGTTTCATGTTTAACATTGATAGTCTGTTCTTTAGTGGCCTTTATTGATTTTTCATTTTTCGTTAATTTGATAGCATCCAACTCAATATTTTGCACTTCTTGCATTGATTTTGGATTATTTACAATATTAATTTTTTGTGACTCAATTTCATCGTTTGAACTAATTCCTGGACTATTTTTATTTTCACAGTGCGTATTAGAATTTTCAATATTTTGTGCCTTTTTTGGATTTTCATCGTAGAAAGTGTATCCAATTTTTTTTAAATGTTGATCTTCGTGCGATGCTTGAATTTGTACATTTTGATTATTTTGAGCGTAATTTCCTCCTCCTCGGCGTGCTCGTGGATTGTTACACCTCGCATTTACAACTATATCTTTATTATTATTAGAATTATCAGAATCAGGATTACAATTTATTACTGTATTGGTGAGTTTTGATGGCACTGTATTCGTTACTGAAGTTTCGTTCGATGTTGTGCTGTGATTATTAAGGCTCACAGGTTTTTGTTCTTGTGTTAAATTTTGACGCATTTTTTCAATGTCTTGTACATATTTAATAACCTGAATATTTTTATTAATAGCTTCTTCTTGAGCCTCTGCCTTTTTTCTTTCCGTCGAATTTTTCATTTTCGTCAAAGTCGGTGAAGGTGGTTTTTCGAAACTTAGATTCAAAAGATGATTCGAATGGGTGAAGTTATGTTGCCTCGTTTTTCTATCCGAGTGTTGTAATTCGTCTAAACTAGGATAATAATCTTGAGGAATCTTATCTGGCTCTGAAGGTGTCTTAGGTGGCACACTAGGCCAGGAAGATGTACTTAACATGTTTGGAACTATTGTAGATATATTTAATACCGAATTATGAGTCATATTAATAGTTGCCATGCGTGCAATGTCCGCGTAACTTGCTTGTGGCGTTCCGCCTGATGAGGTAGCTATTTTTGATAAATTATGTTTGGACGTGTTTGATGTAATTGGCAATGAATGGACAGAATCAGAATCACTACTGTCTGATTTATCACTGTAAATAACAATTATTTTAATGTAATTAATGAAATCTTCCATGAATTTACAATCTAATAAATTCTATCTTTCAAAATTATTTATGTAAAAGAAATTAAAAAAAAAAATTGTGTTAATTACCTTGGTGGCATACTACTTGCTGATTTTCTTCTAAGTTCAGGAGACAGTGGTGTTCTATATTCATTAGAAAATCCTCTGGGATTTTGGAGATAAGATCCGGACGTTGTTAAATTCTGTGCTCTACTTCCACTGGAACTTCTTCTCTGTTTTTTACTTTTCTTTTTTTTCGTAACTACCAGGAATTCTGTTTCATGTTCAGGTTCTGGATTGATTTTTTTATTGGAGTTTCGACGACTAGCATAATCATCTCCAGTATCATTGCAATATATAGACTGACCTTCTTCCGTGCCCCAAGATCTTCTATCACCGCGACTATCGATAGCTGTATCCCCCGTACTTCTTTGTTTTGCACGGCGTAACGCAACATTGATCGTACCTGTTTAAGCAATATAAACAAACTTCATGAACTTTCATGTTGTAATAATACTCGAATAACAAACTCTTATAACCATTGCTTACCATGTTGACTTGATATACTACTGGCACCACTAGAACTGACGCTTTTTTCTGTTGTGAGGTCTTCGAGTTTAGTCTTCGATATTTCTTCAAGAGAATTAGACTTCTGTAATTTGGCAGGTAACTGTTCCCTTTTAGTATCTTTTTCTCTGCTTCTTGGTTTTGCACCTGAATTAGTTTTTACTCTTACTGGATTACCTGGTTTCCCTTTTTTACTTTTGGATTCCTTATTTTCAATAAAATTAATTAAACTGTCGATATCGTCATTGCGATGTCCTTCAACGTTTTCAGCACTGTATACAATAACATTAGGTTCTTGAGTATGTTTTCTCCTAGGCTTTTTTCGTTCTCCATTATAGCTTTGTACTGGATTTCCATTTTCATCCAAAGATTTCTTTTCTGCAGGTCCGGTAGTGTACAGATGCGCTGTGCAAAATTTATATATTTTAATTAAAAGTTTCAATAAACCTTAATATTATAATAACAAACATTATATAAACAAAATATAATACGTTTAAATTTGTATTTTGCAATGGATTTATTTAATTTAGATCATCGTCATAATATCTTTATGATAAATAATATTCAATAATTTTGGTATATTACCTACCCATTGTAATATTTTGTGTTTGTAAGGATGCAGACATGGAGCATAAACTTGGTATTACTTTACCCTGACTAGCACTTGAACTATTTGCAGTTCCACTAATACCACATTTCACGCTATTGAAAGTTTGAAAAGAAAGGGCTCCAGTTACCTCTGTACCATTAACAGATATTTTTGATTTATCTTGTTTTCCGCTATGTTCACGGAGAGAGAAATCTATAGTAGTATCCACAGGAGTTTGAGCTATATCGAAAGGAGTGCGTGATATATATTGAGGTCTATGTGGTTCGATAATTTTCATTTCAATTCCTTCATCATCTTCTGTATCTAAGGAGTGAGGTCTTTGAACCCCACTTATACTGGATCCCACATT